GGTAGTCAAGGGAGAGTTGTGAGACTTGGTTGACTACCAGCGTACTGTTTGCCCAGCCGGCGAGAGGAGTAAGGAGTGAATCAGATCCTGTTCTAGCGGGGGAATGATGTGGAGGTGGTGATTGAGTTTTCTGAACCTATCGAATGAACGGACAAGGTGGCATTATCGTGATTGAGAGGTCCGTTAGGGGAAGGCTGCTCGACAGTTTGACTTCGTTCTGACAAGCTGTGCAGCGATCTGACATCATTCTGTACGACTGACTGTTGCCAGCTACTGGCTGCTGCTAGCCATTGCCGGCTATTGTTATGGTTGGCGGCTGACTACTGTTGGCTACGGGCTACTACTGACTGTGCACAGGCGGTCGCTGCTAGATCACTCGTCTATGCACGGGCGTTCGCAGCCAGATCGCTTGGTTAAAATCTTGACAGATGATGTTGGAACTCTTGACGGTGCATAGGCCGTTGGTTGTGAATGGCTGCTGCTGGCTGCCCCATACTGTTGGGTGTTGCAGGCTGTGGCAAGCGGCTGCACATGACTACTGTTGCGCTTGTGGACTGTGTGCGGACTGTGGCTGCTGTTGACTACTGTTGTTGCTGTTGACCACCGCTGTGTACCGTTGTTGCGTCTACGGACTGTGGGCGGGCTGCTACTGCTGTTGCTGTTGATCGCCACTTGCTACTGCGCTCATGGACTGTCGCAGACTGTTGTGCGGCCGCGACTGGGCTGAGGCGAGGTGTTCAAGCTTGGGGAGGTGGCCAGACTGGACAAGTAGGGGGTTAGTGCGGCGATTTGGGAGATCGTCAGCGGTTTGATTTCGACAGTTCGACATCAACGAGCTGTTACGTTGGTTGCCATTGCGGGACCCTCAGGCGCTGGACGATATCAAGGCCCTCTCCTGAGAGTTGAGTCTGTCCCCCTCTTGTATCTCGAGAGTCTAAAACCTCTATTTCTGCCTTTCTAAGTCTAAGTCTAATCTTGTTCTAAGAGGAAAGCGGCAGGCGGGATTGCAACCCGTAGGACCGCAGCAAGACTCTGTAGGGAGTCTGCCCACCGACTGCGGGAGCTCTTCTGGAGGCAGGGAGCGGAAAGGTAATCATTGCTTCCCCTCTATAAACCCGGTTATAACCCTTATCTGTATTCCTTGATATGTTTTGACTGAGTATACTGTGTGCGTCCCTACTTTGACTTTTTGAACTGACTTTCAGGACATAACCAGACTAAGCCAAAGAATGTATGCGCAATGTCAGTTTCAGTTTCATTGTTTGACTGAAAGCAGATTGTGGGGTTGCATCTAGGGGAAGGATGGGAGAAAGGCAGTACTGCATTTGTCTGACCGGGTCAACCAAAGGCTGGGCCAGTTCCATAAGTTTGAGAAGGCCCGGTGCTATGTTTATTTTGAATTGCCTGGAGAACCAAACATGTTCCATAAGTTTGGGTGGTCTGGCTGCTCTGACTTGTGACGGTTGCTTGCGGTTGACTTTTCAGGAGCCAGTCAAATCCATAAGTTTGGGTAGTCTGGCGGCCTTGTTTACTTTGGGTTTTTGTCGATTTCTTTTTGACTTGGCTTTGAGAGAAATGAACCAGGCTGAGGACCAAGACATGTTCCATAAGTTTGGGTGGTCTTGGTCCAACGCCTCGCACATGTTGGAACCAGAAGGTTATAATTTGGCTATACTTTATTATTATATTATCTATGAACAGGCTAGTCAGACAGAGTTCCATAAGTTTGGGTGGCCTGACTATAGCCTATCACCAACAAAAGAGAGTACTAATTAAGAATAAACTTGTGGTACGAAGGGGCAGACTGAGCCCTGAGCTGAAGATGATCGGCTCAGTTATATGCTACCTCAAAAGAGTAAGTGCAGACAATTATATAAATTTTGGATATTTAGACAGTTCAGGACGGCTAGGGTGGCCTAGTCACATGCCCAAAGAAGAGAAAAGTTGTTGTGCCCTGTGTTTGTGTATATTCCATGGCTGAGCTAGACATGTTCCATAAGTTTGGGTGGTCTAGCTTTATGCCTTATGTAAGCTGGGTATAAAGGGGTAAATCATTGAAAGATTATGAATTATTATTTGTTAAGATGACTTTGGGGATGGTGAGAGTACTTACCTTTGTGGTTTGGCATGCATGTGACTGAGTGAGGCCGCTACTTAGCCTGAGTTTCAGTTTGATAGGTAGTTGCTTTAGTTGTTCACCACGTGCTAGAGCCACAGGAGTTTGTTTCAATTCCTGCATTTTCTGAGTTAAGTTTTTTTACTTAGGTCAATTTCTGCATTTTCTGGGATCTTTTGTTATACTTGGGTTTGTATAAATCTTGGTAAGCTACTTTCTCTACGGGAAGCGCTGCCGAAATTTTTACAAAACCAAGGAGTTAGTCAGATTTTGTCTTTTTCAGGGTTTTCTGACCTTTTGGCTTAGTAAAAATTTGGAACACCTCCTTTTCTAAAGGGAGTGCTGCCCAAATTTTTGCTAATTCAGGGAGTTAGACAAAATTAGACCTTGAAAGTCAAAGTCACTTTATATTCTGAACTTAGCTTTGTATAAATCTTGGAATAACATTTTTTCTACGGGAAGCGCTGCCGAAATTTCTACAAATCTGAGGAGTTAGTTAAAATTTTTCTTAGTTGAAGTCGGACTTTGCTCTGAGTTCGTATCTGACTTAGTATAAATCTGGGAAGTCTACCTTTCTAAAAGAAGTGTTGCCCAAATTTTTACTAATTCAGGAAGTTAGACAAAATTTGACTTTCCAGAATTAAGGTTTATTTTTTTTCTCATTTTCGAGTTATTATAAATCTTGGAAAGACACTTTTTCTATGGGAAGCGCTGCCGAAATTTTCTTAGTTTAGAGGAGTTAGATTATGTTTTAATAGGTGGCGATTCTGGCGATCCACCCTGCATAGAGGAGATTCTGCCGGGGTCTACCTTTCTTTTGGCACTTGCTTAGAGGTAGACTTAGGCTTAGTTAATTAGGATGATTTGAGTGAGATCGTGATATGGGGATTATTCTTCATGGACTTATAGATTTAGCTTGGGGGATTGACCTGTTGTGTGTTAGAGGTCTTCTTGATCGATTGATTTAGGATTTGGGCTAGATTCAGCTTGATCCTACGAGGATCACCTTCTGTTATCACTGATAACAGGTCGGTTGCCTATTCGTCGGTTTACGACTCAACTCCAATCCACTCTTGCCACTCAACCTAAACGCTTTAGCCTTGTGATTTGAATTGTTTTGTTGTGTTTTCACCCGGACTTTATTTGAATGGCCATTTAAAGAAAAGTACTGAGCATTTTAATTTGAGGAGTTGTACAAGAGTGAGGTTTGTATGGCTAAAAGCAAGGGGTGTGAGTGTAGAGAATGGTTGAAGTTGACCCCGTGTAGTGTATGGACTTTTTGGTTGGATCTTTGATGTGATTGCAGGTATTTTTGGTGATTCGGACTCTGGATTTGACTGCCTGCACTCACATACATATATATATGGCTGAGAGGAGGCCCACTGTGACTGTGAAAAGTGATCGTCCTCTCTTAATAACCCTCTATGTATGATATATATATGTCTTGAGTGTTTCGCGCGGCCTATTGAGACCACGCGTAAGGGTTAAACAGATCGTGTGCTTGAGAGAAGAGGGAGATCCCCTGTTATCCTTTCCTTTGTAGATTTCTATGGTTGGACGTTATAGTCCGTGACAACCGTCAAAGTCAAACCCCTTGACTTCTCCCCATGCCCTAGATGATGGAGTTGGTCTCCAGGGCAATAAGAGACGATTGCCACCACATGTATGAACCTGTGTACCACCCACTCTCCGCAGGGTGCAGAAGAGGGTGTGGTTTTCAACCGCACTCGGCGGTTGTCCAACGTCGAGAGATCATTCCCTCAAGGCGCATGTTAGCCAACACTTGCGTGTCGAATACGACCCTCGAGATTATCGAGGACCGCATGAGTATGGGTACTACGTAGTACGCCATCATTGCGACTACTTGCGCACGCTTGCATTGCGAATTGATATGAGTTAGCCCTGCGTCCGTGCGATTTTTATACTAAGTCTCGCGCACGACGCCTATCCGATTTCCGCGTTGGAAAGTTATGGGATGGCTACTGAGGGACTATGAGTGTTGTCGCGTTTTTTGTTCAGTGTCGTTCTGTATATGTATATGTACGTGCGTATGTATGTGTGCTTTTATTTTTATGTTCTTTAGAGTGGTGTGCGCGTGGAGTGTGGGATGCGTCCTAGTCGACCGGCGACGAGTCGCGCTTGGGACCTCAGCCCCCCAAGATGTCGGTTCGCGTGCGGGTTCGATAGAGGCGTAGTACCGCGCGTACCCCCTATGCTACAGCGAACGAGAAACGCCCTCGGCTGGTCCACCTCTGCGATTGCAGCTGATTAGCTTTCGTATTATGGACTGGTAGCTCGGCGGGGATACGCCCACCGAAGGGAGGTGACAACTCCCGTAAGGTGGAGATAAGTCGTGCCTCGCGTAGGCCCTATCCTGTCGTAGGGGCTCGCAAGAGGTATGGCTGGCGCACTCGGTCGGAGCGGCTTGCGGAAGCTCCATGTATATTTGCGGCGAGGATTAGAACCAACTCCTGCGTGACGCGGCCGGGGGTCCCGCGCTGGCTTGTGCGGTGTCGGACCGATGCGCGCGACACCGTATTCTCTGAGGTACGTCCCACCCTCTCTGGGTTGCGTGATCTCGATAGACGTCTAGGAAGAGCTCGATGTTGTCATCATCAAAGACAGGTGTAGGCTCTCTCCTGAAAGGCCTATGCCGCTCTTGCTCTCCGGATGCCCTGAGAGGTCTCTGTCGTGGCCGTGTGTCCCTCCCGCCCCTCTGCATGGCTGTCTTCGAGAAGTCAAACCTGCACATCAGGCGAGAGAAAACAACCAAGCACACAAAAAGGATCAGCAAGCAGGCTCATCAAGTCTCAGAGCAACACACCCAATTCCGGACATATCTGACCCTTCTCTCTTTCTATCCATCCTAATCGTGACATACGACACTTAGGATGGGGTTTTACTTTAAGGGTTTTTAGGCCTGTACCTATTCCCTGGCCACGAACTTCTTCAATCCTGTCCCGGACACCCAGTCTTTCCATTCCGTCCCATCTAACTCCTTGATTTGATAGGCCCCGAATTCGCCACACCGCACAATCCTGTAGGGCCCCAACCACCTTTTGTCGAGTTTCCGCGACCACTGCTTTTCCAAAGAGGAATCATATAGCAACACGATGTCCCCAACTGCCAACGACTCCTTCCACACTCGCGTCATCTGATCCCACCGCATCTTATCCTCCATTCGACTCCTCTCTACGTCCTTGGAGGCCTCTCGTATCCTTTCTTCAGCCGCGTCCACCTGCCGTGCCCGAATATCGAGCAGCTCTTCGAAAGACAGGTTGGTTTCCAAGTCTTGGCGCCTCCAGGTCTTCAAGAAGCTTTCTATGGGAAAGGTGGCATGTCTTTCAAGAAGCGCGTACTTGGTAGTCCTCTTTACCGTGACATTCTCCACGAAGAAAGCTGCTCGAAGAAACTTTGGCCACTGGCCGGGTTTGCCTTTTGTCCACTTGGCTAGGAGATTCATGATGGTATTGTGCCCCCTTTCCACATGTGCATTTGCTTGAGGATGTGCAGTGGTAGTATAATTCGCCACTACGCCATATCCTGCAAGCAAAGTTTGCACCTCGTTACAGGTGAACTCTGATCCTCGATTCATCACGAACTCTTTGACGAAAGGGTAGTGTAGATAATACTCTTCGATTTTGCTTGCCAAAACTGGGCCGGTCTTCGTGCGAATAGACCGATCGTCCACAAATCCAGTAAGGTTATCTTGTGCATCGAAAATGTAATTACATCCGTTCTCCCTAATCGGCATGAAGAGTAGATCCAGATGTACGACTGCGCCCACCTCTCTCTCCAACCTTGGGTGTAGGGGTTCCCCTGGCTCTCTTGGCAAGGGACACAAGATTGGCAGTACTTGATGACCATGTTCAGCATCCCATCCCAGTGGTATAGTTCACTTATCTTCGCACATGTGGCACTTATCCCTCTGTGCCCTCCCGCTATACCATCATGTAATGCCGCTATAATGTCGATTTGCTGGTTCCTCTCACATACAATCCGCTTGGGATTCCCGACTTGTCGTTTTATGAACAGATGTCCATCCCTCACCACGTAGAGATGCCTCATCTTCTGAGCCTTAGCGCTTGCATCTCTGTCCCTTATTTCATAGGATAGGAGTAGACCTAACTCAAGGTAGATCCTATCATACTCCTCTGCCCGAAACGCCTCTTTAATCTCCCCTTTCTCGTACTCGTCGTCCTGACTTTCAGGAACGGGATACTCGCCCTCAACTAGACTTAAAAAGTTCTTTCGGTCAAAGTCACCTTGCAGAAGCGTATTCGTGAGTAGGTACATCACTCCCATTGACTGCTCATGCTCCTCTACTTGAGCAGGGCCCTCCTCTATCGTTCTTATTTCTTCTGCCAAGCTATGCGTACCTGCCAACGCCAATTTCATCATCCAACAAACATCCTTGCCTCCCCATGGGTTTCCTCCTGAAACGGCTTGAGGACTAATTTAGCCTTTTGCTCGTACCCTCCAGGCGTTATCCATATGAGGTGGCTGACACAACTGGGCACTCACATAGACCATTCATTTATATGGAGGCGGACGTCTTCTTGCTGGTCCAAAAACCCATCAACCGGTGGAGTATCCTCAATCGACTCCTGATCCAAGTTGTCCCAGTTTATGCGGCCCAGGCCATCGGCCCTGTTCTTGTCCCCCGGAATTCTTTCCAATTCAAAGTTAAACATCCAAATGTACGTCAACCATCATGCGACGGTCGGGTCAGATGGAGTATAATTCTTCAGGGAACAGGCAAGCGTCGTGGGATCCACCCTTAATATGAACCTCCTGCCGAAAACATAATTCCGGAAGATCCTTGAGCAATGGAGTACCACAAGCGTCTCCTTTTTAAACTGAGAGTAGTTCCTCTCAGTCGCATTAAGAGTCCGACTTTCAAATCTTAGCGGCCTTTCCTTCCCTTCAGCATCCGCTTGAATTAGGACTCCTCCCAAAGCAGTTGGCCCAGCGTCCGTCTCGATGACAAAAGGCTTTTCCTCGGTCACTTTATAGTTAGGCGCCCCCAATACTAACCCTCCTTCCTTGATTTCCCCCTTCATCCGGGTCACTGCTTCTTCCTGATCCTCACCCCAAACCCACTCCTGATCCTGACGCACCAGTTTCCTTAAATGCTCGGTCTTAGCGGCTTCACAAAGCTCCTCCAAAATCCACAGGTGTCAACTCTCACATCCGTTATGGAGTGAAAAGGTACTGGCTATTCTAAGATTTTGTCTGTCTTTTTTACATCCGGCCTCCGACCGTTCTCATTACAGACAAAACCCAGAATGGTAGCTTCTCTCATGCAGTGCTTGGATTTTGGACCGCTCACAGTAAGGTTGTATTCCTCCAACAGGCTCAAGACCTGATCGAGGTCCTGGATATGCTTCCAGACAAAACGCCTTACTTCGGGCATTACTTCGTCCTCCTTCTCCTTTGGGCCTTTGACCGCCAAGTCATCAATATAAGGCTGAGTGATGTGTGGGCTGACCGTCTGCATGGCTCTGATCATATGTCGTTGCACCATTGCCATTGCATTGGTCCAACCTTGAGGGGCCACATTCATATGAATCAGCCCCCTTGGCGTGTGCATTGCTGTTACTGGCCTATCAGGCGGGTATACAGGAAATTGATCATACCCAGAATAGAGGTCTATAAGTGAAATTATAGACCTCCCTGCGCAATGCATCTGCGTTCGGCAAGCCTCCCGCGTCTCGCACTGTCACCGCATTCAACCGTTGCAAGTCCTGCACCCATCGCAGCGCCCCATTCTGCTTAAAATAAAGCAGAACCCAGGGAAAGCATATGGTCCGCTAGAGTAGCCAGCAACATGCGTGCGCGTCTTGCCATCAAGATAGTCCACCACCATCTTCTCCTCGTCAGGATTCGGATACCGCGCGCCCCTTAGATTCCAGGGCTCGTGTGGGACGGTGTGGATTCGAATCATCGGAATTTTGTCCACATCCAGCCTCCCACGCTGATCGTCATTAAAGGAGTACGCGTGATGCCTTTTCTTTATCAACTGCACCATCAAGGCCTTTTCTTGGGGTGAAAGGAAACCCGGCTTTCGAACTATCAACTTCCCTTCATTCTCATCGTTGATACGGCATGGACCATCCAGCGCCTGCTCCCGCATATGCCGTATCAACCCTCGTTCTCGCTCGTAGTAAGCCTCCTCGTCTTCTGTAACCAGCATGGGAACAGGGCGGCACTTCTTATCCATCGTCTTGTACCGCCTTTGGACGCCCTGCTTAAGCCGTCCCCTGAAAAAGGCCGGCTTGTTGTTTGTGCTTATGCCATCGCAGGGCTTCCTCTTCCTCCGGGAAGCCGATAGATCAACTCCACTTCCCCCACCTGAGGGTTTTCTGAGACTTGCTCCCTCAGTGCCTTAATTGCCTCCGGATCCGCCATCTCATGTGCCTCAACTATCTTCATAGCTTTGTTTACATCCGTGAGGCTCAGCAACAGCACTTCCGCTCTTCCTTCCTCCTCGAGTTCTTCCCAAAGCCTCCACCGCTCATTCTTTGATTCTACAAAGGTCAGTGAGTCGGGATTAGGTCTATTCCGCTCGCTCCCTGGCCCCGTGTTCCGGCAGGTGATAACTTCATAGTTCCCACAGGCCAGATCACTCAAGAGTAATATCATCATTCCGTCGTGCTTATTGAAGATCAAAGTCTTTGTCCTGCACATGAATGATCTACCCAGGAGGATAGGGTGGTCGACGTCTGGCATGACGAAGAAGCAAGTCCTCGCCCGCACCTTACCAATTTCTATGATTACATTGGATGCCTTGCCTCAAAAAACTGCCTTGCAGTTAGCTCCATGCAATATATCATTGTCCGCACGGTCAATTTCCAATCTGAGCATGAGGGCATCTCTTTCTCTGATGATGTTCATCTCGGCGCCCGTATCCATCATTGCAACACACTTCTTTTCTTTCACCACCAAATCCACCAACCCGCATGCCGCACACTTCCAGTCCATCCTTGTTCCAGCTTCTGTCCATCCTGCCTCCCTTGGCAGGATCGCACTTAGATGGACGTTGGGCACTAACCTCCGAGATAATCGTCCCTTTAAACCATCTCGGAGCCTCAGGGCGGACGCCAAAATATCTTTTAGGTTCATAAGGTCGTTATTACCTTCGAGGAGCCTATCCACCATTCTCTCCACATCAAAGCCTTCTTCTAGCCTGACTGCATACTTCCTTTTCTTAGGCGCGCTGTCCTGCTGACCTGGCTCAGCTTCCTCTTGGATCCCTCTCCTTTGGGCTCTTAATCCCGTCCGCCGATCCTCCTCTTGTCGGAGCCTCTCGTCCTCCGTATCGTCATCCTCCTCTTCTTCTTCTTTCGAGACCTCTACCACTTCCTTCCTGTGCTCGGGCTCTGGTCTCCTTCGAGGAGGTGCCTGACTCAGCGCCTGACTAGGGCCAGCCTTACTTTGGCTCCTGGTTCGCGCCGCCTGAGGTGCCCGCCCATGCGGGGTGGGTGGCCTAAACGTCATCCCTGACCTAGGGCCCGACCCTATTATCGCGACCTCGGGGTAGCCTTGCTGTCCTGACGCTGATCCTGACCCGGACTCGTAAAAGAAGACTCTGGGGAGGTCGGCCTTCCATTCCTGGGCCTCGTTACACAACTCCTGTAGCCTCTGCTGGTATCTTCCCACCTTCTCCAGCAGGTCCTCCATTTTTTCCAGGATTGTTATGAACGACTCTTCCACCTCCCTTGAGTCTTTGTCGTCGGACTCGATGACTATCGGCTCTTTCTTTATAGTCCCTGCCTTTAATCGCTGGGTCACCTCCTCAGTCTCCCCTATAACCTCTTCGATCCTCACGCGCGGGTCCTCCCTTTCTTGCCATAGTATGAACATTGTCGGGGGCGCCGGCCCTGCCGCTGCTCGTCTTTGGGCTTCCTGTCTAACTCCACCTGGAATTTTTGGGTCAATATACTGCCCAAATTTATCATATATATCCCCATCCATGTTTGTGAAGATTAGATCGGCGAGCTCATCGTCCCGCCGTTGCTGGCAAAATCGTATGGTGTGGCCCACAATGCCACAATGCCGGCAGACGACATTTCGCCAATCAAAGCGGGGCCTTTCATATCCTTGGCCCCCTTTTTGACCACCTTGGCCGCCTTGATTCTGGCTTCCTTGTCCGTTCCATCCACCACCGCGTCCCCCGTTGTTCCTTCCTCGGCCGCCACCCCCTCGACCTCCTTGTCCTCGACCACCATTGCCTTGCCCTCCTTGCCCTTGACCTCCTCCYCCCGCCACGCTAGCCTGCGAAGCTTGCTGCGAGGTGGGAGGCTGGGCCGTGAACTGGCCTTGGGTCGCCAAAAAACTTGGTGGCCCTGCACTCGCCGATGGGTCCGAATAAGGGACCATCTGTCCTGGGGGAGCTTGGCCTCCCCCACACGAGTTGCAGTGATTACATCTGGGCCAGGGTGCCAACTGACAATAAGGCATCCAAGGACCATATGCTGGCGGCGGCCCCATTTGTGAGGGTCCTGCCGACATATGTGCAGTGGTGGCGGTGGCTGGCGGCGTAGCGATTGCCTGCGGGATCTGTCCCTTTCCAGAGCCTGTCCCCCTAGCAGCAAATTGCGCTGCTTGCGCTGGGCTTTGGTAAGAACTTGTGACCTTGTCTCCTCCTCACCGTAGTCTTCCTGCCTGGTTTCTTCTTCCCGTACCTCCTTACTCCTGCTTTGGACTACGGTCACCACCTTTTCCTGTACCTCGGCGTCCTTGCCATAGCCGAGTTCCGCAAGTACATCCGTAACAATCCTTGTTACCCATGGGGTTCCAGATGCCGTGGCGTCCCTTTCCTTTCTCTTCCCTCTCTGCAAGCGCATCTGATGGTGCTCTACCTGGTCCAGGCTCCCATCTTCCACTCCCTTATCAATAGTGGCCCAGGTAAGCTTCGCACTGGTCCAGGCTCCCATCTTCCACTCCTTTATCAATAGTGGCCCAGGTAAGCTTCGCACTGCCCCCTCCATGGCTCGTCAACTCTGAGGCCTCTGATGCAGTAAGCAGCCCTAGAAAGATGGCACATTGCGCCTTTTCTGAGATTCCATGAACTTTTCTCGCCCTTTTCTTGAATTCTTGCATAAACGCCCCTATCATACTGAAATCATCCTTGTTCATGGCCTCAAGGTCTGCGGTGGTAAGCAACCCATCGCCCAACTGATACGTGCGCTGCATGTCATCTCTAAACCTTGCCCAGATACCGTTGGCGGCTTCCACAACCTTTCCCACTTCTTGATGATGCCCATGAAGTACGTATTTCAAAATTTGTTGGAACTTCACCTCATCTGACAGACCCACCATCGCGTGCTCAACCAGATCCAACCAGTCAGAGACCCATTCTCCACTGAAGTGCAAGGTATCAACTTTTGGGACGTTGCTCGACGTTTTCTCGTGCCTGTCGATAGCTGCAATAAGGTCTTCAAGCGTCAGGACCTTTCCCGTACCATCCACTATATCACTAGGCTCCCGCATCTTGACAGATGTGTCTTTTCGACTTTCTGTAAGAGAAAACAGAACATTCGTCTACTCAGTGCGCTACCTCAGCGAGATCTCTACCGTATGTCCTACCTAGTTCCCTCACGATGTATGTCTGAACTAGGTATGGCTATCCCTCATAGTCTTTCTAAGTCGGGCGAGCAACCAACCCACCTAAGAGTCGCTAGATTTTCCTCACTCGTACTTAATCATATACAAACCAATCCACATTCTCATTTCCCTTCCTATGCCTACTTCCATCTCACTCTCATACCCGGATGTCGTTCCACCAGGGACAACGGTAGACTTTCGTTATCCCCGGCAACGGCGCCACCTCTCGAGCGCATCGGTCCGTCACCGCACAGGGCAGCGCGGGACCCTCCCGGCCGCGTCATGCAGGAGTTGGTCTAAATCCTCGTCGTGAATATACGTGGAGCAGCTCTGGCCGAGTGCGCCAGCCATACCTCTCACGAGGCCCTACGACAGGACAGGGCCTACGCGAGGCACGACTTACCTCCACCTTACGGGAGTTGTCACCTCCCGTCGGTGGGCGTATCCCCACCGAGCTACCAGTCCACAATACGAAAGCTGATCAGCTGCAATCGCAGAGGTGGACCAGCCGAGGGCATTTCTCGTTCGCTGTAGCATAGGGGGCACGCGCGGTATTACTCCTCTATCGGACCCGTAAGCGAACCGACATCTTGGGGGGCTGAAGTCCTAAGCGTGATTTGGCGTCGGTCGACTAGGACGTATCCCACTCACCACGAGCACACTACTCTAACAGACACAAAGGTAAAACACACATACGTACACACACATACACAAGACGACAATGAACAAACAACGCGACAACACTCCTAGTCCCTTCAGTAGCCATCCCATAACTTTCCGACGCGAAAATCAGATAGGTGTCGCGCACGAGGCTTAGTATAAAACTGCGCGGACACAAGGCCTACTCACATCGACTAGCAATGCAATCATTCGCAAGCAGTCGCAATGATGGCGTACTATGTAGTACCCATACTCATGCGGTTCTCGTTAGTCTCGAGGGTCACACTCGACACTCAAGTGTCGGCTGACACGCGCCTTGAGGGTTAATCTATCGACGCTGGACAACTGCCCAGTGCGGTTGAGAACCACACCCTCTTCTGCACCCTGCGGAGAGTGGTCGTACACAGGTTCATACTTGTGGTGGCAATCGTCTCTTATCGCCCTGGAGACCAGCTTCATCATCTAGGGCCTGGAAAGCAGTCAAGGGTTTTGACTTTGACGGCTGCCACGGACTACAACGTCCAACTATATAATTCTAAAAAGCAAAAATACAGCGAAGGGCCTCCACATCCTAAAAATCACAACCTTGGGTAGCCCTGCCGGTTGGCACCATTGGCCTATCCTGACTTTGGACACTCACGTACACATACGAATTACCCCTAATCCCATAACTCTAGACACTAGAACGGGCGGACGTCGCGCGCAAGACTTCAATATAAAGTTGCGCGGCTACAGACCCTTCCTTCATCAACCGGCGATGCTAGTCATACGAGGCAATCGCAGTTTCGGCCTCGGGATATTGAATGGATAAAGGAATATATCGTGAGGGGTTGCCCTTTACGATATTGAACGGCTGAAGGACATGTCGTTCAACCCTCGCGACATTTCTGCCCTCTGGTTGGGTGTCTCGACGGGCAGGGCAGATAGGCTCTGCGCAGTGAAAAATTCCTCCCCCGCAGAGTCTAGGGTCTGGGATGTCCTGGATAAGGACCTCGAATCCAAGCCCACGACTAATGTCCGACTAAGAAATCCCTAAGAAGCAATCAAGGGGGGTTCTTTCCTCTCTCGGCCCTAACCCCGATTTTTACCCTTAAGCGAGGCCCGCTTAGGCCATGCGAACACCCAACATAAATACACATATATATAGGGGGTAAGTATGTGACGATCACTTCTCACAGTCACAGTGGGATTCCTCGCAGCCATATATATATATGTGTGATTGCAGACAGTTCAATCAAAAATCTGAACCACAGAACATACCTGCAATCACATCAAAGAGTCAAGCAAGAGTCCATGCACTACACGGAGTCAACCCCAACCACTCTCTATACTCATACCCTTCGCTTTAGTCATGCAAGCCCCAACCTCCTGTCCAACAAACCATAATTAAATACTCAGTACCTTTGTTAAATGGCCATTCAATCAAAGTCCAGGTGAAACCTTAACAAAACAATAAAATCACCAGGGCTAAAGCCTTTTAGGTTGAGTATTGAGGGTGAATTGTAATTGAGTCGTAAACCGACGAATCGGCAACCGACCTGTTATCAGTGATAACAGAAGGTGATTCTTAAGGGATCAGGCTGAATCTAGTCCAAGTCCTGAATCGAAACGATAAAAAGGACCTGTAACATAAGATAGGTCATTCACCAAGCTAGAACTATAAGTCTGCGGAGACTAATCTTCACGCCACGATCCCGCCAGAACTCGTTCTACTTACCCAAGCCTGAGTCTACCTCTAAGCAAGTGCCCAAAGAAAAGGTAGGTCTTTGGCAGGATCTTCCTATTCAGGGTGGGTTACCAGAGTCGTCTCCTGTTAAAATATAATCTAACTCCTCTAAACAAAGAAAATTTCGGCAGCGCTTCCCGCAGGAGAAGTGTCTTTTAAGAATTTATATAAGTAAAAACATGAAAACAAAAATAGTCTTTGATTGCCCAAAGTCAAATTTTGTCTAACTTCCTGAATTAGCAAAGATTTGGGCAGCACTCCCTTTAGGAAGGGAGACTCCCCATATTTTTACTAAGTCATGTATGAAATTTAGACAAGTTGGACTTTGGAAAGTCAAATTTTGACTAACTCTTTGGATTTGCAGAAATTTTGGCAGCGCTTCCCGTAGGGAAAGTGGCTTATTAAAATTAAGACAAACCCAAGTATAATAAATGAGCTCATAAAACGCAAACATTGATCTAAGTAAAAAAACTTGTCACAGAAAATGCAGGGATTGAATCTAACTCCTATCGCTCTAGCACGTGACGAGCCACTAAAGCAACTACCTATTGAACTGAAACTCAGACTAGGTAGTAATCTCACTCAGCCACATGCAAGCCAAACCACAAAGGTAAGTACTCTCACCAACCCAAACTACCTTTGGCAAGCAATAGTTCATAGTTTCTCAATGAGTTAACCCCTTTATACCCCGCTTACACGGGGCATTGAGTTTGGCCATTTGTCTTAGAAACAATGCCAACTCTTTGCCTTAGTTATACACGAACAGGTTGCACAACTACTTCTCTCTTCTTTGGGCATATGACTAAGCCATTCGTCTTAGAAACAATGCTTAGCCGCCCTGAACTGTTTAAATAGCCAAGTTATATATATTTCTCTGAACTTAATCTTCAAAAGTGGGCGTAGGGTTGAGCCATTCGTCTTAGAAACAATGCTTAGCCTATCCAAGTTACCTTCAATTATAACTCTTAGTTATACTCTCTTTATTTGTGATAAGGCTATAGCCAGACCATTCGTCTTAGAAACAATGTCTGGCTAACCTTGTTCTCATATATATATATATTCTTCTCTCTCTCTGCCTACGGTTTACCGGACAGTTCTATTTGTGACGATATATATATATATCGTCAAATAGAACTGCCCGGTAAACCGTAGGCAGAGAGGGAGAAGAGGACAACAAACGAGGGNGGACAACAAACGAGGGGCTGTGACAAACTGTTTCGTCGGAGTTTCACCGACTCATCAGGAGGCTGAACCCTATATATATATATAGATTATAGAGAATCCTATTCCTTTGTTCTCATTATAGTCCTGTGGCCTCAGACTTGGACCATTCATCTTAGAAACAATGTCTAGTCCTTTGGCCTGAACCTCCCTCAGAATAAAACAATCAAAAAGAGTTGAGTCATTCGTCTTAGAAACAATGCTCAACCCCCTCTTTCTCAGTACTAAAAAAAACAGAGCACCCTGGGTCAAGACCCAGAGACTGTTAAGAAACCACCAAAAATAAACAGCAGCCAGACCATTCATCTTAGAAACAATGTCTGACCCTCAAAATTTAGGCAATCAATAGCCCTCAAAATAAATAGCCAGGCCATTCATCTTAGAAACAATGCCTGACACAACTAAATAAACACAGCGACCAAGCCATTCGTGTTAGAAACAATGCTTGGCCCTTCAGAAAACAGAACAAAACACAGCAGTCAGGCTATTCATCTTAGAAACAATGTCTGGCCCTATAAGACCCATTCAGACACAAGCAAAACTGCCTTCCTCCCAACCTTCCCCCTGATGCAACCCTTTGTTACAATCTGTTTTTAGACAAGCGAAGAAACCGAAACTGCCATTATACATACGTTCCTTTACTTAGTCTGATTTGTGTCCTGAAAGTAAAACTAAAAGTCAAAGTAGGGCTGCATACAATACACTCAGCCAATACATAGGGAGATGTATAGATAGGGGTTATAACTGGGTTTATAGAGGGGAAGCAAATGGTTACCTTTCAGTTTCCTGCCTCCAAAACTCCTCCCGAGTCCCGACAGAGCTCCCGCAATCCGTGGGGCGAACCTCCCACAGAGGCCTTGGCACGGATGACGGGTTGCAATCCCACCTGCTGCCTTCCTCTCAGAACCAATGGACTAGACTTAGAGGAAGAAGGGCAGGATAAGAAGCATTTAGTCTCTCAGATACAAGAGGGGTGCACTCAAGCTCGCGTGAGAGGGCCTTCAAATCTTCAGCGCATGAGGGCCCCGCAATGATGGCCCTCGTGTACCTTGATGACATACTTATTTTTAGTAGGACTGTCGAGGAGCTTGTAGCCCATTTACATAAAGTACTCAGTCTCCTTCGGCAGCACCAGTTCAAGATTAACCGGGAGAAGTGTGAGTTTGGCCGCACCCGGATCTTCTATCTGGGTCATGAGATTTCCTCGGAGGGATTGAAGCCCGATGACGCAAAGGTGGCCAGCATTCGTGACCGTCCGCGTCCTCAGTCTGTGACTGAGATGAGGTTCTTAGGGATGACCGACGACTACCGCAATTTCGTGAAGAACTATAGCATAGTAACCGTACCCTTGTCGGATCTCACACGCCTTAACACCCCGTGGGAGTGGACAAACAGGTGTGAGGTTGCTTTCAGACATTTGAAGCACTCTCTGACGCACCATGAGGTCTTGAAACTTCCTGATCCTGACAAACCATTCGTTGTGACCACGGATGCCAGCCAATATGGCATTTGTCGTGCTTGCGCACCAAGAGGGAAAAAAGTTGAGGCCCGTTGAGTACATGTCCAAAAACATGCCCTCTCAAAAGTTGGCTACGTCCACCTATGAGCAGGAACTTCGTGCGATATATAAAGCGCTGACCCATTGGAGACACTACCTCCTTGGAAGATTCTTCTATGTCAGGACTGATCGTCAGACTTTGAGGTGGATGAGGACACTTGTACTCTCCGATGCTTTGAAACGCTGGATCGAAGTCATACAACAGTATGACTTTGAACCTCGGTACATCAATGGGGAGTACAACGAGGTGCCTGATGCGCTGTTGCGTAGGCCAGAATTCCTTGGTGCGCTGATCACTGAGTTCGGGCTTGCGGACGATATTACTCAGTCCTTGGTGGAAGCCTATCGCGAGGGTCTGTTCATAAAGGAGATCACATGCAGACTCGAGGCGAAAGACAAGGTCACTTCGAATGAGTTTGTGTTGGTCAATGGCCTGCTGTTCCTCAAGAAGGCTGTGAATAAACGTTTGTGAGTGCCAAATAGAGAGTCTTTACATAGTTTATTTTTAGGTGAATGTCACAATGCCACCGGGCATTTTGGTTACAAAAAGACTGCAGGTAACTTGTTGCAGCAGTTCTGCTGGCCCACCATGATGAAAGACGCGAAGCTATACGTGGAGACTTGTCTGGTGTGTCAGAGGGACAAGCCACGTACACATGCCCCTCCTGGGCTACTCAAGCCCCTTCCGATTCCGGAAAGGCCTGGTGAGAGCCTGTCCATGGATTTCATGGATAGGTTCAATAAGTATGCTAGGTTAGTTGCCATGCCGTTTCAACAAAGACCGAGTACATGATGACTGTTTAAAGAGAACTGGGTCAGAGACTTTGGCCTGCCAAAGTCCATCGTTAGTGACCAGGATGTACGATTCACGAGTGAGTTGTGGAAGGCTGCAGCTGCTGAACAAGGGACTCAGCCGCAGATGACCTTCGGGAACCACCCAGAGGCAAATGGACAAGCAGAGCAGTTGAACCGCGTTGTACAACACCTGCTGAGGCACCACATTAAGCCTAATCAGGTGGACTGGGACGAGAAGCTTGCTCTCATTGCCAGCCTGTACAACAACGCTGTGCACAGCGCGACAGGGGTGAGCCTCAACAGTCTGCTCCTAACTTTTAAGCCTCGACTGCCTCTTGATTTCTTACTACCGGAAAACCAATCCACTGTTGCGCCGGGTACCTTGGAGTTCACTTACCGATATGAAAGTCTTATGCAGCAAGCAGTGGACAGCATGCACAAAGCCCAGGCGGCGATGATAGAGTCAGAAAACAAACACCGCCGCCCTTCTACGTTCCAGGTTAGGGATAGAGTCTGTGTCAAGGCATCCGAACTCTGGCAAGAGCAGTGGATTTCCCGAAAGCTCATGCCACAGTACTTCGGACCATGGGAGGTTCTAGACATTGTTGGAGATGATCCCGATCGGCTTTCCTATGTAATACAGATCCGTGGTCACCTTTGCACTTACCTTGTCTTCCACGCCTCCAAACTTGCACCTCCCAAGGAAACTGATCAGTTTCCCTCTCGTCGGTCTATGCTGCCCCCAACCATGTATGGAGAGGTCGACATTGACGACATTGTTGAGCTCAAAGAAATGCCGGTTCCAAACCAACAGGCAGGGGCCGTCCTTCAAAGCCGAAGCTACAGTTTCGTGTTCGATTCAGACATCACACTGATCCTAAGGAGGACAGATGGTTCACAAGAGAGGAACTGATGCAGACCGCTCCACAGGTTGTCGCTCACTATGAGAAGGCACTGCAGAAAGGAAAGCGCCAGATTGGGTGATTGAACTTCTTTGAGGACTGTCGAAGTATGGAGGAGGGAATGCGAGGCCACAGCCCGCCCTGAGCATCCTGGGCCTCTCAGCAAGGATGGCCGCCCTAAGTGAAGGCGGCCCTGTAAAATCGCATGAGGCCTATTTCGCCCTTTTTTGCAAAGTGGGGCTCAGACAGTTATGCTGCGTCAGTTGGTCGAACGAACCCAGGCCGTGGGCAACAGTATCTGGTCAAGGGCTTCTAGGCCCTTCCTATGTTTTTGGGCACAGGCCCTGGGGCAGACACGGGGCTTAAACTGCATGCAGCACACTTGGCATTTGGACATGCGTAACCACCCGAGGCCCTGCGGAATACTCTGGCCTCAGGCACTTGGGGCCTACGGGAAGCTTCTGGGCAGGGGCCCAACGCAGCCAGGCAGCACACAGCAGGCAGGCCACTTCCATAAAGGAAAGTGCCTGCCTCCGCATTTCGCATTTGGACACTCGCTGCTTATGTGCAAGTGCTGCTGCACCAGCTGCTGGAGCAAGTGCCTACGCGATCACGGGCGAGCCGAGAAGAAGCAGGCAGCCTTAGCCGAGCTGGCCTGCGCATTGCTGGATGGGGCGCATGGTGGTCCTTGGGTGCATGTGGCATCTGTGTGGGGGATCGAGGTTGTGAGTGAAGCGTGAGACATACCTGGTGCTTGAGGCGAACGACATTGGCCGAGATCTGCTCGTACTTCGGGAAGCTGTTGACGTCACCAGCAGCATTATAGATAGGTTAGATAGGATCTGCCATTCGTAGTCTGGGCGCTGAGCGCCAGATAGGGATTCAACATTGGTTCATTGTTGATGAGACTATTCCAACATTGTCACTTTTGTGCTTTTGTTCTGCTCTTATTTGGTGGAACTGAAGTTGCAATTCTACTTTTTGTTCGAGGTCAAGACTATCTGGTTTCATGTGTATGATGCTGCTTGGTTTCTGGAATTCGCTATCGCTCATTCTTCTTGCACAGGGCTACATTATACACTCTAGTCAGCAGCGTTACAAGCAAGCGTTGATACTCTTTGTAAAACTCCACCGGGATCCTGTCCAATCCCGGTGCCTTCTGTCTTCGCAATTCCACTACTGCTCGTTCCACTTCTTCAGGTGTGATGTCCCTGTCCAACGCACAGCTCTACTCCAAGTTGAGGTGACGCTCCATGTGGGCCCAGACCTCGTGCTCCGGTTGGGATGCCATTTGTGCAGGCGCCCATTGTACTGCCATATGTCCTCAGTAAACAGCCATATAATACTCAACCACGTACTGCAGGATACCCCTGGTTGTCTTCTGCCGTTCTGCATTCGATTCAAATGGGTGCTGCATGGCCGTCATGAGGGCTGTCCCTCCCCTCTTGCCTAGCTGCGCAAAGAACTTCCTGTTCATCATTTCCCCCATCAGAATCCACGCCTCCTTAGTAAGCCGGCCCCACTTCACCACCTCTTGCACTTGTCATTCTTTCCATCTTCTCGCTGTCTCCACCCTCTCCATCCGCCATTCTCCTTGATCCTGTTCCCCGTCTGGGACCTTGTCCAGCTCCGCCATATGGGGGTTTCAATGTCGCACAATGGGGATTTCAATGTCACCTAATGTGCTTATGAACATCTGATCGACGGAATGCATATTCCTGTGCTATGTGAGCTTCGCGTTGACGAGGTTTGTCAATGAGCTGTGTGTTGGAGCTTAAGGGTTTGAGGCCTCTATCAGTTGTTTGTTTGTTCATTTTTCAGTGCAAGTGTGCTTTATGCGGACAGGTTTGTAGGCAACAGGCACTGTACCGCAAAGAGATGGTATGATGTGACGGATTTATGTTGATGTTGGGGATTGATTTCTTTATTATTATTATTTTTAACAAACAGGGCCTTATGACCCTGGCTCCATATCCATTCTGGGGAGTGTCAGTCCGGTTACTTTTCGCCTGGCAAGTCATGAAAATACAAAAAGATATGCACGCACTCTTCCTTCCGTCTGGCTGAAGGACCCCTGGACAACATTGATTACTCCCTTTTAATGGAGGCTCGACTGCCAGCTTGAAATCCTCTCAGCAACCCCTGAAATGTGTTTTCCGGCATGTAAGTTATCAGAAATCCCCCTATCAGATATCAGAGACGTTGGGGATTTCTGATAACTTCACGCGCGAACACATACTTCAGGGGTTGCCTTCTAAGCTTCAGCCAGTAAATTCATACTGTTTTTGTTGATGTGGTGTGCGGTGCAGCAAAGATGAAGCAGCCAGCCAAGGAACTGTTGATGATGATGTAGAAGCATTTGACAGTGCTCCAGAGGACCTCGACTCTGATCGCTCTGAAACATGCAGTGCACCGAGCACTGGTGCCCATGGTCGTCAAAGCTTGAGCAGGCGGCGGACGAGTGACTACGATGCCGAAACGGGGCAGTCATCTTCACAGGTCAGGTTTTTGCCTTCTGTTGTTCTGTGTTCTTTCAATATCTAATTGCCATTTTGTGGATGTGGCTCGCATGATCATTGGGGCTGGGACTACGTTGCCCCCAAAGCTAGAGGTGGTGGCCCGTCAAGTAATGCACATGCTCCCTCTCCTTGTCACATGTGACATACACAAACTGGAGCGCAAGTCCAGTTCGGCCAAATTCAGATGTTAAACCAGTCTAGCAAACTCAGTTGTAGTAGTAAGGAGAGGAAGAAATGGCTATGGTGTGCCTTTGTAGAAATTCTCCTGATGTGACCAATCCAACGAGTATCCAGAATCAGAGAAAAAGGGACAACCCAGGAATGGTGGCAGGTTATGGAGGACATGTGACAAAGAATGCCATTCACCACTAAAATCTGATTCTGGAAGTGCTGGCTGAGGCTTGCAGTGGTTGAGAGCACATCTGGAGCAAGTGGAAGCTTTGATGAACATGCAAGGGGAGAGGGGGAACGTTGATGAGCATGTTGGGGGTTGGCCGAGGGTCAATGAGCATGTTTGGAGGGAGACACGTGTCGATGAGCATGTTGGAGGCACAGTGTCAATGTTAAGTTTGCTGCATACTGGGTTAAGGGAAGAAGTGTTGACGAGGTCACAAGATAGTTTGCACACTCGTTGGGGGCAGATGCAAAATGCTTTACATCCAGAGGAGGAGGGGAAGTGTCAGTGGTGGTCACCAAATGCGGCACACCCATGTTGGGGGCAATGGGGGGAAGACGGAGGGGCATAGGGGTCGCAATGTAATTACTTGGACAAGGTGGGAAAGGGGGTGTCAATCGCAGGACCTTATCGAATTGGACAAAAGGGGAGTTGGGGACAAAGAGGAAGAGGGAGGAAAGAGAGAACTGGTGTATGAAAAACATGGCATGTTGCATAAACTAATCAGAAGGCTCAGAATGAGCAAATCATAAGGGGAATAGCTAGGAAGATTGTCACACCTGGCCGGTCCTGCCCAGGCGGGCACCTGGCGTGACCCCCGAGGGGGTCTAACCCCAGGCATGCCAAAAAAATAAAAAATAAAAGATATAATATAAAATTGAACAATTTTATAAAATAATTCTCTAAAAATAAAATGCCACTGAATACTTAATAAATATAAAAAAAAATACATAATTGTGAGGATTGAGCCCTCAACGCGGCCTTGCCGACATGCATATGTTCTGGGCATAGGCCCCCAACAAGCCTCGTGCCCGCCCTAAGTGAAGGCGGGCCAGATTATCCACGAGAGACCTACATTCAAGCATTTCACAAAGTGGGTATCAGACAGTTGCCGCACGCCAGTTGGTTGGAGTGCATCGTGAGCCTCAGACTCCTGCAAAGGCAGTTGAGCCCAGGGCCTCGATTGGTTGAGCCCTGGGCGACAGTTTGGGAGGCCGACACATCACACATTGGTCCCTGGCCTCGGAAAAGCAGTATTTCGTTGCAGAGGCTGAGGAAACCAATGGGACCGGTACGGGGTCTGAATCTGGACAATGGCCCTAGCATAAGGGGCACAACTGTATTACCTGTGCCCCATCTGCATTGGGCCTGGGTACAGGTACTGGGGCCCAGGCGCAGGCTCAAGGGAGACCGCCCACACGCAACACTGGCATATAGGCAGAGCGGGCGAGTGGGCAGGGATCTTGGCCATTGCGAGCAAGGCCGGCACGCTGTTGCGTTGTGGGGTGCTGCGCTGCGCTAGGCTGAGAGAAGGCAGGCTGGCGCTAAGCGGTAGAGCGCAGCCTGGGCGCAGGGCGCTGGCAGCCATAGCCAGGCTGCATGAGGGCGCTGGAGGAGGTGAGGGCGAAGGTGGTTCTTCGGAAGGTGAAGGGCGCTGTGTGGGATAACAAGGGAGAGTGAGGGACAAGAGAGAGTGACGTACCTGGTGGAAGAGGAGGTCGGCATTGGTGTTGACGTCATCACTAGCTGGTCATCAAGTCGTCTGGTTGCTTCCATGACTGTAGTTGTAGGATAGGCTGTAGAGTAGATAGGGCGCCTGGCGCCATTCAAGAGAGAGGGCTACTTCGAGTTATGTTGTTGGTGTTGCCCGATTGGAGTTGGACATTGACTCATGACTTTTGCTGTATCGTTCTCAAATGGATGGTTGCTCGGTTCCAATGTGTTATATGCTCTTGCTTTGACTACTTGGACTTCAGTGTGATTTGCAATTGGGATTTCTTTGGTTCGTCCACATTCATGTTACTTGCATAATCACTTTGACGAGCTGTTTTTACATAAAATATTAATAAAAAGGCTGTTGCGATGATAATAAAAAGTGTCGTTGCAATGAAAGCAAGAATATTAACTTTCTTTAAGTTATACCATAGTAGTAGCAGAAACTGCTAATTCTCCTGCTACATTACAATAACTTGCACCTTATACTGGAGCTTCCTTTGCACAATATTTCATGTACAAAGGACATAATACGTTAATAGTTTATGATGATCTAGTGTATCATCGACGACATCTGCCGCATCGTCACACTTGTTCGGGGATCAGCAGCCTGTTTCTTTGTCTGGCCCAATTCTCTTTGTGCCTGCCCCTGGGGCCTCTCAACTTTCCTGCATGCCCCTTTCAGCAGGCGCCGCAACTTTCCGCGGTGCCCTTACTGGACCGCCACCGATCCCTATGCCGCTATGCGATATGCGCGCATGAGCGGCATACATCTTTCCATCATTCCCTCGCGCCAGAAATTCAGATTTGAAGCACATGGATTTTGAGGCGCTGCCACAAAAAATGATCGTGTTTAAATCTGTGTGTGTGTGTGTGTGTGTGTGTGTGTGTGTGTGTGTGTGTGCATACATCTTTCCATCATTCCCTCACGCCACACTTGGTTTTTGAGGCGCTGCCTCAAAAAAATGGTCGTGTTTAAATCTGTGTGTGTGTGTGTGTGTGTGTGTGTGTGTGTGTGTGTGTGTG